TATATATATATATATATATATATATATATATATATTATTTATTTATTTTGAAAAAGAGATTTAACATGGTTTTCAACCTAATGATGAAGGTCAACTCAGGAAAATGACTAAAATTCCTCATAAATCGCATGTAAATAGACCATTGCACCGCAGAAAAAAAGGATTCAATTCTAATCAAAGAATGATGGAAAGAATGTCTCTCATAAAAAAAGGTCTCGAATTGAAAGAATATATGGGTTTAATATCTCAGATATAATTAGAATATGTTTAATTAAAAACATTTCTGACTAAATGAAAGCTGTAACTATATCATCCTATCTTTCTCTAATATGGAATTATCCTAAGTGTACATCCAAGGCGTACACCTTTTTTGACATTGTGTGGAAATCAAAATGTATTGGACGGGAAATTGTATCTTCCAAGTATGTGCCAACACATGGCACATTGTCAAAAAAGATGTAAAACAAGATGTACACATAAAACGATTGCTCTAATATAAAAATTAGCTTCAAAACACACAAATTCCCAAAAAGAGTAAAATCTCTCTCTCTCTCTCTCTCCCCGCCTCTTAAACCAACAATGACTGGAGAAACAACGGCAACATACTTGTCACGAGTCCTTAGTTGCAAGGCATCTTCCACACTAGATTAAAACGATCACGAAAATAACAATAAATATCGACATGCTGATTACTTCTTGAAACATTCGTAATATACTCAAGACTGAACCTCCGACACCATATTCGAAAGCCTCTGGATCCTCTAATCGGCAGTTCTCCTTCTTCTTTAGATGAGGGAAAAATTGGGAATTTTTTTTTTCTCCCAATATCTCTATATAGAATATGGCAAAGGCAATTAAAATAAGAAGCAATTCAATAAGGGAATGCAAAAGGCCTTCTATCTATTATGAAATTTGTATAATGATAGAACATTATAAAATGCTACGAAAATTACACCTATAAAACAAAATAAATGTTAGTTACCATAAAAAAAGGTCTCCTTTTTGTCACTAACAATTTCCTTCTTTATTCCCTTCATATAGGTCGATGGATATATAAATCAGTTTTGCTAGTGGTACATCGGGATATACCTAATGGTGTACACCCCACTCACATGGACGAGGGATCCACTCGAATAAAATATCATTTCTTTCACATGGCTCCCACATCCATATGAGTGGGGTTGTACACCATTCGGTACACCTCATTATGTACTACTAGACAAATTCTATATAAATAGTAGGATGAGGAACTTGAGTTCTTGGGAATCTGTGTAATTTCACTAAGCCCTGTTTGGTGGCCTTCAAACTTAAAAAAACTATTGAATGTATTTTTTATTTTTATTTATTTATTTTTTTAAGAATTTATGGTTAAATAGTAGGGAAAAAAATTCTGAATTCATATGTAAAATATTTTATATGAATATTGGATTGAAAATGAGTATTAGAAATAAATTAAAGGCACCCAACCAGGGCCAACAGTATCTCCAGCCACTAAGTAAAGATATTCGATTGGGGCAATTGGAACTGTGCAGAAGATAGAGAGGAAGACATTGTATTAGATGATTGTAATTTAAAAATTAAATAGAATAAAAAGTTTTGTTTGGAAAAAAAGAATAATAAAATAGATTTTAATTTATCTTCCCATAACTTTAAAATATAAAAATACATTAAAAAAAAAAAAAACTGAATTTTGTTGGTCATACTAATAGTAAGTGTAGACTGTATGCTACCGAAACACCATCAGTTACGCTTGACAATATCTTTCTTCAATAATACTCGAATCAAGTGTAGGGATGACCACCGAAGATATCGTTGTTGATAGTTTTGTCCAAGCATAGAATACATTGATTCCATCCAAATCATTATGCCCAAACCACCAATGATAACATTGTCGGCGATCACCGATAGAATTTTTATTAATAATTATTTATTCTATTAACTTTTTTTTTTTTTTTTCATTTTATAAATAAGCGATTGCCTAATGCCCATATTGCTTGAGAAACACGAACAATGACTTTGAAAAATAGCTGCAACATTCTTATCTTTAGAAAATGACATCGTCCACATATCCTGATCAAATTGATCACAAATGCAACAATAATTATTAATATACTGGTTACTGCATAAAACATTCATATATGTTCAAACTCAAGACTAAACCCTCAACTCCAAATTCCAAAGCATGTAGGTCACCAACCGATAGTTCTCCTTCCACTCTACTGGTGAGAAGCACGAAAATAAACAAAAATTCTGAGTGTACAAAATTTTAAGTTTACAGAATGTATATGGAGTGTCACAAACGTTGGACCCCACATGAATATTTTATTGCTAAAAAAACCAACCACCCCCTTTGATGTGTGTATTATGTACAACATCTGTACAATTAAATTTCTGTTCATGTAGACTAACTCGAAAATAAATTTGTTGTACAGTAAATTTCAATAATTATATAGGATATAGCACATGACAGTCAAATTTAAAGCCAATTAGGAAGGGAATGCAAAAAATCTATCCACTTATTATGGCACTATTTTAATGATAGCACATTATAAAAAGAGATAGAAATTACTCAATAACAAATAAATATTAGTTAGCAAAAAATCTCCGTTTTAGCAACAACAATTTGCTTCGATTCCTTCTTTTATTATAGGCCAATGGTTTTCTAAAGAGTGAGACGAGGGACTTTATTTCCTGCATATGTCAACAATCCCACTAATTGTATCTCCAGTCACCAAGAAACGAAACGTGATAGGGTGATCTAGGGACGGAGACAGACATTTGGTTTTGTGGGGTCAAAAGTTGAAAACGATGTCAAAACTGGACATTGATAATAATTTCTTTTGAGCAAGAAATGTATATCTCCGCAAATCGCAATCACTTGTCAACTAAAATATACAAATGCAGGTTAAAATGCCTAATCTCATAACACATCAAAATTTCTACTGTGGACAGTGGACAAGCTTAAAGGGAAAATGAGGTGACGACCGTACATATTAACTTATATAATATATTTTTCAAGTTTCAACAAGTAGAAATGCACTTGCATATCTCAAATTTAAAAATGAAAAGTAACTAATTAAAGGAAGAGGTCCAAATTAACAGGAAGAACTAAAGGTACATCCAAATTCAATTAGTATAGGTTTGCTAACCTAGATGGAACTTGGAAGAAAAAAAATGTCAAACAAGTAGATGATATATTTGTTACCTAGATGGAAAAAAAACCACAAAATTAGTGCAAGAAAAGAAATCCCAAATCGCAATAAGAAATCCCAAAATATAAATTGCGATTTGGCGATCTCTTTCTGTCGGTTGATTCTTCATTTTCTTCTCTTTGTGGGACTTTAGGGCAATGGATGGTTTCAAGACTCCAAATGCATATGAAATGATGAGAAACAAAGTTTTGGTAATGGGCAATTGAGCTTGTGCAATTGGCAAAGTTGTGGTTAATTTACATATTAAAAAGAGAAAAAAAAAAGTTTGGAAACACATTTGAAAAATTTACAGATTTAAAAAAAAAAAGACATAAAATTTGTGTGGGGTCAATTGACCCCACATGACCCTATGTGGGCCCGTCTAGGAGGTGATCTGATTTGTGTATAATGATAAATGTGATTTCTACACTTATTCAAGTCGTTAAAAGTAGATATTTGGGAGTCAATTAAATTAAATTAATATTAAATTTGGTTGATTATCGATTATTATATGATAAACTCGAGTTTATACAGCTATTGATATCTAGCAATGTATCAAGGCATTACATGTGATGAAAATGTCTAGTGGTGTGATCAAAATTAAACTTTTTCGTTTACCATAAAATTATAATCCTTATGTTAATATGATTTGATCAATTACAAGATATGAAGGTGTGTCAATCTCGAATATTGATCATATTTTTTTTTATCCAAATCTTAAGTTAATAATAGAATAACTCTTTTCGAGTTACGTACTTACATTGATCATTCACAACTTTCATATGATTTTTGACATGTTCGAACGATGTTGTATTAGCGATTTATGGTTGAGTAACATCCAAAGTCATTAAAGTATGATTATATTCATATAAGGTACTATGATGACCTCAAGTTGAAGAAACAATTCAACTACTAAATGTTAGAGATTAACAACTGATGCTCAGATAGTTATCCATGTGGAATCTCTTTAACGAGTCTCAAATATTTTGTTCTCCACATCCATTTAAATGTCGCTACATTATAGCCTATGAAATTAGCTAATTACTTCATAAGTGAGAAATACTATACGTACTTATATGAAATAATGATATCCGTATCTCGTTATTACTTCCAATCACGAATAATTTAACATTCATCAGTATGTAATTTGTTTGTCACACCCACAATTTCTTATGATTAACAAGTTATCAAGACTTGAATCTATGAACTTTATTTATTTAATTTATTAGTATAATAATTCAATAAAACAATAGATCTATCATAAGTAAAATGCATTAATCGTATTAAAAATATTTATATTTAAAATTGATTGAAGTTAGGGCATATC